GGCAGCCTCCGCCACCCCCACCCGCCGGCCAGGGCTCCCGTTCCGGGGAGGACTCGCCAGTGGATTGGGCTGACTGTGAGCACAGGCGGGAAGAGCCTGCGGCCAGTGACTCAGGCCTGGCTGGGGCTTTTTTCACCTGAGACACAAATGCGGCGCCCTGATGTCTTGGGGCTCTGACCAGGTCCCCAGCGCTGCCCCTCACTTCAACCCCCAAGAGTGTCCCTCTGCTCGCAGGTTCCTGGTCACCTGCCAACGTGGAGGGTTGCCTGGGGCCCAGAGCTGGGTGGCCACGCCCATCCCAGCGAGCCCGCCCTCAGGCCCTGTGAGCGGGCAGCAAGGAGCCCGCAGGTTGGGGGCTGCAGGTGTGGGCGCTCCTGCCCAGTAAGACACGTCTCACCCGCCAGTGTCCAGTGCGCTTCCAGCCAGATGACGTCACCAGGGCAGGGCCGGGCCGGGCAGGTCCCTGGGGCCAGGGTGCTGGGCGGGCCGGCATTCAGGCGGCAGTTCCCTCGGGAGCCAGTGGTTCTGGGCAAACAGGTGGCTGTGGCTTCATTAGGAAACGAGGGTGTTGAGGCCAGAGGATGATCGCATGACCCCCCTGCAGCCAGCTGTACTCGGCACTAACAAGCTCCACGCGGCTGTTCCACACACGCGCCCGGCCTGCCCGTGTGCGGGCTCCCACCTTCTCCACCGCGAGACCTTCCAACTGGGCATCGCTGGGCGGGGCGGCCCCCTAAGCTGGGCTTGACTCACCCCACCTCCCTCTCCCTCTGGGCTGGGGGTGCAGAGCCCACAAGGCCCTGCCCATTCTGGCCCTCAGCTCAGTTGTTTTCCCACTCTGTTTCCATGGTGATAGTCACCCCCATTTCGTGCTGTGCATCCTGCAGTTTACCTGCTGCTAAAGGACTGGGGACCTGGCTCCTTGGTATCTTCCCATGCCCTTTTCTGGGGTCACAAAAGGCAAACAGCTCAGCAGCCCCACCCGCCAGGCGAGGGTCCAGGGGGCCTTGCAGGGGTGGAGGCTGCAGGAGGCCCGTGGGCCCAGCCCGGGGTGCACAGGCCTCCCCCAGGACCTTCCTCGGTCCCAGCAGCTCTGGCGGCTCTGCCTGCCCTCAGCAGGCCCCCCACCAGGCCTGCAGCCTCACCTTCGGGTCCTGACCCAGCCCGGGAGCAACACCGGGCCCTGTCTCTTCCTGGCCGCCTCATCCACGGCAGTAGATGAAGGTCTGGGGGGGCACCCTCTCCCCAATTTCTGGGATTCCTTTTAGGTGGCCCTAGAGGCCACCCTGCGAGGATGGTCAGGAAGAACGGGCACAGCCCAGGAGGAAGGCAGGTGGCCTGGCTGTCTGGGACCCGCAGGCCAGGCCTCCTTTCATTCAGAGCCCGGACTCGGTCCGAGCTGCGGCTGTGTGCCTGCCCCTCGCTCTCGCCTGGGTGGTGGTCTCATGAGCAGGCACTTTTTTACCCAGTGGCGTCGTTTATGCTGACAGATGCCGGAGGGGCCGCTCGCGGAGGGTGGGGCAGCGGGGCCTGTGCTCTGTGTCCCCTGCACCAGCCTCACTTGGAGCAAGGCTGCGCCACCCCTGCCCCGAGGCGGGACTCGCCAGATGCTGAGAAGGCGCTTATTCTCGCTAAGTGCTGTTTTGGCACCGCTGTTAATTGCAATTTATATTCTGCAGCATTTGACGAGGGAAAGGAACCCACCCTAATGGCCCCCGATCGGCAGGGCCGGGCTGTTAAGCAGCGGACCATATGCTGCCTGGTCAGCACCGGCGTGTGTGCGTGCGTGTCTGCGTACACCTGTACTGTAGTCCACAGTGACGTGTGCATGGCGTGTGCGTGCATATGTGTCCCCAGCTCTGTGTATGATCAAGTGTCTGCATATGTGCACACTCGTGTGCAGGGTATGTGTGTGAGAGCCCGATGGGGTGGGAGGAGAGGGATGGAGGAAGGCGGGTCTGGCATTTATGCCTTTGTTAAAGGGAGACCCACCCCAAGACCACCTCCTGCCACAGGCCTGCAGGCGCTCCCGAGGCAGCTGGAGCCTGAGGGACACAGAGACCCGCCCCTCCCTGCTCTGGGGCTTTCTCCTCTTCACCTGTCAGTGTCTGTCCCAGCTCCAGGAGGCCAACACCTCTCAGCTGCCCTCCCGAGGGCAGGAGGGGCGGGCCCAGGGCCTCTGCTCCAGGCCTCGGAGGGTCAGGGGGCGCCCTGGCTGGGGAGGCGCAGCTCGGCAGGCTGGACGCCAGGGCCACACCCCCTTAATCACGAGGGGACGGAGAGGAGGCCCGGGCTGAAAGGCGGGAGGAGTGGGCCACGGGGTCTGAACCAGTGCATTGGCCCTGATCGTCCCACGCCCTGGAGTCCAGGCCCGGAGGCCCTGCCCTGATGGCCCCCTCGGGGCCTCATGGTGCTGGGGCAGCGCAGCCTCCCTCTGCCCTTTGCCTCGCTATTGGCTCCTTTAGGATTTGAGATTTGCTGAGACCTTGTAAGGAAATAAGTTACTGGGTGAGGGAGCCTGGCCGTTGGCAGGGTTCCAGTGGTTTCAGCCTAAAAAGTGAGGTGAGGGAGCCGTGGGTGGGGACGTGAGCACCCACAGTTCTCATGGCCTCGCCCGAGTCCTACAGGAAAGGGACAGGACTGTGAGGGAGGGCCCGGGGCCCCTCCGATGGTCACCAGTCCCATTTGCGTTGGGGATGCAGGATTCTAACTAGAAGTGTCGGGTCCACTGGGTGCGATGAACAAATAACCCCCAGACATTTAAAAACAAAACAACTGTGGGTCTGACACAGGCCACAGTGTCCTCGAAACGATCCACCTCCCAAGGCTCTTTCTAAACCTCTCAAGTGTGGGGCTTGGTGACAGTCACAGGGCAGGGCCCCTGCGGTGCTCCCCCAGGCCCCGTGGACCTGGGGACACGGTGGCCACGGGCTGCTCGCCTGCCACGCTTGGTCACGGAGCTGAGGCCAGGGCCTGGCTAGTGGGTCAGAGGGAGGGGTGCTGCTGTGCTGACCCTGCCACGTCCTTAACGGGGAGCCGAGGCTCCTGCTGTGCTCACCTGCGGGCAGTGCATCCCCACAGGTGGGTGCCCATCCGCACAGGTGGGTGTGCATTCACACAGGTGGGTGCCCATCCGCACAGGTGGGTGCCCATCCGCACAGGTGGGTGTGCACGCAACACGTGACGCCTTGCAGGCCTCGGGCATTGACAGCCCTGGCACCAGCCGCGCCTCCGACCACTGCCCATCAGAGTGTGACTCTGACCAGAAACAGTTGAGCCCAGTGAGTTCCTAAGGGGCTGGGTTAGCTGCGGGGGTCCCACGGTTTGTGTGTGACCAGGTGCTAAGTGACTGACTATGTGTCACCTGCCTTTCGATGCCAGACCGTGTCCTCTGGTGATGCCGCTCCTGAGTTTGTGTTTAAACTACACTTTGGTACCTTCATGTACATTTGTGGCATGTGGAGTCTCAAATAAAGTGGACTTGACTTTGAGAACCAGGCAGCTGTGTGGTCCTCCAGGCAGGGCATTACGACCTTTCCCGTCTCGGTGACCCCGGCCCAGCCCCGGAGGGTGGCCGAGGCGTGCCCGTCACCCACTGCCCGTCACGTGTTGGGGTGGATGCTTTGCTTGGTCAGATCAGGGTCCTGGATGGAGGTGTGAGAGGCAAAGGGGACCAGACGCGAAACCTGAACACATCTGCACACTCACACCAAAGCCCTGGATCAGTTTTACACCAATTAGTTAACAACAATTCAGCTAAAGGCAAGGGTGTCCTTGCTGTTCATCCCAGGAAATCTGCACAGTTCAGAGAAGGAGAAGCAGGAGGAGAGCAAACAGCCAGTCTCCGCCGGCCAGAGTCCTCGCTGGTCCCGCTCCCGCCCTGTGAGGCCCTGTAGCTGCCATGACTTACGGGCCTGCTTCACGCTCCCCTCCTCCCCCTTCCCCATGAAGGCATCTGGCCCTCGTTTTTCCAGACCCGTCATGTTAATGGTGTGGCGATGCTGTCACCCCCCCCCCCCCCCCCCCCCCCGCCTGCTGTGGGGTAATTAGCTCCTCTCTAATTAGTCACTCTTCCAAGGAAAGTGCTCCCAGCATCCTGGTGCTGGAGTGTTTTTCTATTTTTAGAGTCATTTCCTTGGGTCTCAGGATGAGTGTTTGGCTGGGAGACCGGAGGGGCAGAGCTGTAGTCGGGTGCGGGCTGGCGTCTGCCCGCAGAAGCAGCAGCTCCCACCCGCTGAGCCACACCGGCCGGGGCTCCTTGGATCTCTTCCGTCTTGTCCAGAGCTTCCCGTCCTTCCCTTTCTTTTCTGAACAGTTTCCGTTGGGAGAATTCCCCACGACCTGGGGTTTGCTGACTGCGTCCTGCGGGCCTCAGCACCTCGCTGTCCCGCCAATCAGTAACGATCCAGAGGTTTGATCAGACTTGGGCTCCAGCCTTCATTTTAAAAAGTATTTTGCTTATTTATTAACTTTATAGAGAAAGGAAGGGAGAGAGAGACGCATCGACTTGTTGTTCCACTTATCTGTGGCTTCATTGGCTGATTCCTGTATGTGCTTTGACTGGAACTGAACCCATAACCTTGGCGCTTCGGGACAACACTCACCAACTGAGCACCCAGCTGGGGCACAGCCTTTTTTTGTGAACATTATTCTTTTTTATTTTTATTTCACTAATTTTGTTTAAAATGTAATTTTTGGAGTAGGAGTTCATTTGTGTGATTCCACAATAAGAACATACCAGGGTATTCCTAGTGAGAAGTCCCGTTCTCCGCTTGTCCCTCAGCTGCCCCTGCACGCGGTTCCTCCCAAGACTCAGTCATTCTTCTTGAATACACTCCCCAGGCTGCTGCAAGTCTCTGGTTAATTTCCAGAGTTCTGGAAAAGTTGATTCTGATCGTTTCTATTGTTGTTGTTGCTTTTATTAAAGGGTGAATTTTCAAAGGGTCTTACCTGACTGTTTTTGTCCTGACCAGTCCATTTTGCCAGCTGTGTAATATTCCACTGGGTAGATGGATGACAACTTTTTTTTTTTAAAGGGTTTTAGTTTGTTGTTTTTTTTTAAAAAAAATTGTATTGATTTCAGGGAGGAAGGGAGAGAGAGAGAGAAACATCAATGATGAGAGAGAATCATGGATCGGCTGCCTCCTGCATGCCCCACACTGGGGATTGAACTGCAACCCAGGCATGTGCCCTGACTGGGAATCAAACCGTGGCCTCCTGGTTCATAGGTCGACACTCAACCACTGAGCCACGCTGGATGGGCGGATGACAACTTCTTTAACCCATTTTCTGTGGTTGGACATTTGGATTGTTGTCCGTATTTCATGATGACATACTGTGTTGCAAATTAATAACTCGCCGGTCTCATTTCACTCCTGAGCAAGTGTCTATAAAATAAATTCCTAGCAGTGGAGTTGCTGGGTCCAAGGGCATATACATTTATAATTTTGACGGATGCTGCTCAAATTGTCTTCCATGGGGGCGGGGGCGGGGACCGGGACCAGTTCACATTCCCACAAACAACATCCAAAGGCCTTTGTTTCCCCGTCTTGCCAATAGAGGATGACCTGTAACTGTTGGATTTTGCCAGGCTGGTGGGTGAGAAATAGTATCTCATTGCAATTTTACCCAGCATTACTTCCATGAACAAATTTGAGCGTCTTTTTTCTCTCTCTTTGTGTGTGTTTTGTAATTTTTATTTCTTTTTTTTTGTCCTTTTTAAAAATTGAGCTTCTTTTTATATATTTTAAAGGCCACGGGGATTTCCCCTTTTCTGTCATTTTCTTCTCGTTGATGTACAGACGCTCTGCGGGAGGGTGGCGAGGGCTTTATTTTTATATAAGTCAATGTGTGCTTCCCAGCGCTCTGCGTATCTCGCCGCCGCAGACCTGGGGCCGCGAAGAGAGGCTTCTGTAGGCGCCCAAGAGGCTGCTCCTGCCCGAGGTCAAGGCCCGGGCCTGGCCCTGCGGGGGCCTTGCTGTCTGATGCAGGCTCGGGGACTGTTTGCCAGTGTCTCCCGGTTGGATTCGCGTTCCCCTCGCGGGTGCTGTTCTTCTCCTCTGGCGACTGGAGCCGTCTTCGCGTGTCCCTTAGTGCGGAGGGCTTTGACGCTGGCCTCCGGGGAGTGTGCCCAGGGCCAGCCCTTCCAAACAGAACACCCTACTTTTCTGCACAACTTGGACCTTGTTCGGACTCTCGCTGCTGCCGTCATCTTACTGAATTGGGCTTTTCAGTCCGTCTTCTTTTCCCCGTGAAATAATGCTCATTTAAAAATATGACGCGTGTAGATAAACCAAAGGGAATAGCTTAACTGCAGGATCACTGTCTCGGGCGTCGCTGCAGCCTCTCCCTGGACGTACACGTGTAAGTGTGGACCCCGGAACCCAGCGGGTCCCGCCCAGCCACGCTGCCAGGCCCGCGTCTACCGGGTGCGCGTTTCTGTCTCCGCGACCTTCCCGGCCGGGTCCGTGACAGCTTTCGTTTCCCCTGAGCCATTCGCTGACCCGAGGATCGGACACGTGGCGTCTCCAGCCTTTTGCCTGATGCACAGCAGGGCCGGGCAGCATCCCTATGGACGCAATGAGTGTGCGCCACGCTCGCTTCGGGGCGGAAGTGGGGGTGCAGAGTCACGGAGAACTGGGGGTGTCGGGCTCGCGGCTGTGCTCGCCCCAGAAAGAATGGGCACCTCCCCCTGGTGAACGGATCACGGCTTCGCATCTGTCCCCTCCCCGACGGTCAGGTCCCCGGGAAGGTGTGGCCCGGCACAGGGTGGGGCCGGCCGCTGAGGTCCGGGGACCTGGGTTTACTCAAAGGAGGTGGAGGAGACTCTTTAGTCCAATTTGGCTCCGCAGATCACTCGGGTCTGGAAAGTGTCTGGTGGTGGGAACTGTGTTCGTAATTGAGTTTAAAAATCTAAATGTGAGACCCACAGCGACAGGGAACAGGCCCCGGTGAGGAACGCACTCGCTCCACCCACGCCTGTCTTTACGGGGCGGGGCCTTTCTGGGCAAAGAGGTGACCATCTGGGGGACAGACCTTGCGGATCCTCCGCCCTGGAGGGCAGGGCGGTGCAGGGCTCAGCGCCCACTGGGAGCTGCAGGCTCCGGGGTCCCTCACCCCCCTGGGCCCGCCCTGGGCTTGCAATCTCGGCTCCCTCTGCGTCTCCCTGGCCCAGTGCAGTCGGTCCTGCGAGTCGCGTGGGGCTGGACCTGCTGAGGTCATGTGCGCCATGTGGTCTCCTCAGATGACCTGGAGCCAGGGCTGCCGTCCCTGTCGGAGACGGGAAACCGAGGCCCGCACCACCTGCTGGGCCGGGGACCGTGTGTCCAGCCCAGCT